GTGTTTAAGTTAATAATTTATTATAAAATTATAAGATTACTTTTTTCCTTAATTATATTTTAAAATAAGTTTTAATAATTTTTACGTTACTTTTTTAAAATAATCTTAAATAATTATACTTTATTTTTAAGCTCGTTTTAAGTTTTCGGTAAAAACTTCCTTAAATATTTATTTCTTAATTTTAAATTTAATTTAATTAATAAATTTAACATTTTATTTTTCTTTAAGTATTACTTTAAGTTTTTTATTTCGATAGTTTTAAATTACTTTAAGAATATGTTAAACCTTTTTATTAATTTTTAACATAACTTTTATATCGTTATAAAAACGTCGAATATTTATAAATCTTCATTTTTTATTAAATTATATAGTTAATTTTCCATTTTTAATTAAAAAATATCTTTTAATTTTTTAACCACGTTTATAATATATCTTTATTATTACTTTATTATTATTTTTTTTAAATATATAATTATATATAAGATTTTTTCTTTATTTATTTTATAATTATTAAGCGGAAACTTAACTTTAAAATTATTTAAAAAAGTCATTAATTTAATATTATTATTATTTTTTTTTCTTTTATATAAAATATTAAGTAAAGATATTTTATATTTAATTAAGTTTTTATTATAAAGTCGTTTCGTTTTAATAATGATTCTTTTATTATTTATAAATAATGTTATCCCGTTTTTTAAAATAATTAATTACTCGATTTTTCATTTCTTTAAATTTTTAACTTAAATTTCTATTATTTCCTTATCGAATTTTACTTTTAATATCATTATTAAGTCGTTAAATAATAAGGTTATTATTATTATGTTTAAAATTATATTTTTCATAACTTCGTTATTAATTTAGCTTTTTAAGAATTAATAATTAATAATATTATTAAAATTTTCTTTATTTAAGTTAGTTCGGAATGATATTTTTTCTTTAAAACAAATATTAATAATTATTTTTTAATATTAATATATATTTATTTTATGGTTAAATAATTTACATTAATAAATATAAAACATTATATTATAAGAAAAGTTTTTTAATTTAATTTATACGTAAAATAAATGTTAAAAATATATAATATAATAATTACGAAATAAATATAAAATAATAATGTTTTAATAATATTTAACTTTCGATTTTTTATCGAAACGATTATATGTTTTTTATATATAAGTTTTATTATAAACGTTAATATTAAATAGGCTTAATTTTAACTTATTTTTTAACATTTTTATAACGTTTATAACTTTTAAAGTTATATATTTTTAAAATTATAAACGTTATAAAATATTTTATTTTAACGTATATATATATTATTAAAAGTTTTAAAATAATAAAAAAGATATTATATAATATTTTTTTATTTAAACTTTAAATAACTTAATTTATAAATATTATATAAAAATAAATTTAATATAATTAAATTTATAATTAAATAAATTATTTAATAATATAAATCATATTTTTCATAAGTTAATATTTATTAAAAAATAATAAATTAAATAAATAAAAAAATATAAATAAGATATTTTTTATAAATAGTTATTAATAAGTAACGAGAAAAGTAATTTACTTACAATAGAAAAAGGTAATTTACATTAAGTATCACTCATTTAAAATAGCAGATCAAGGAATAGAACTAATTTTCTTTTTTTCTTTTCTTCTTTTTCTAGATATCATTACCTAAGACGCTTTGGTACATAAACTCTAAAAGGCTGCGAAGCGCTTTCTTATGAGGCCGGCTTTTTCTTATCTTTCTGTGGCGTCTATAATAAAGTTTATAGTAGAACTTTCCCCTGAGTATAATTTATCAACAATAGAGCTTTCTCCGAGATGTGTTTACATAAAAGAGCAGGTGTTGCCTCATGCTCTCCATCCCACTTTCGTCATAGCCATCACAGCCCTTTTCCAGTAAGATCAACAAATCAAAGTCACAACACGACAATCATGGTTTCTCAACAGCGAGATATTGCGACCCAAGAAAACATGAATTCAGAGCCGGATCCAAATGGGACAGACGTAGCGCCTCCCGCATATGATAATCTCCATGCAGGTCTGGGAGATAGCGGCCTACCAATGCCACCACCAGCAACACACGGGCAGTTCTATTTCGAGAAACAAATATCGGAAGCAATAGAACTAGGTTTACGTGCCGATTGCCCCGACAGAGATAACACTACCCGGGCTCAGTTATGGATTGCCCGGCTCATTTTCAAGTCTGATAACGTCCCGCAGCTTATGCGCGAAGGTCTCTAACCTACTGGTCGTTGGACAATGTTCAATGGGAGGACGGATATATCAGTAAAACTCTTCCGGAACCCAACAATGAGTACGACAAGTTTATGAACCAGTACCTCATCGAAAAGGGATTAATGGTTACGCGACATTACTTTCTGCGCGATCTCCAAGTGCCATCACGATGGGTCGCGCACTTCCAGATACACGCCGCGACAGTAAAGGTTTTAACGAACATGCGCCTCGAAAACCTATCTACGGACAACATAGATTTCGCACATGCTTGGAGCGATGGTAGGCAACGATCCATTTACCAGTACCGACGTTCGCATCCGGAGGGATGCTACAATGCTATCTACGACGACATGCCTATGGGAGGTTGGTGGCCATGGCCAAAAAAGAGAGATAGTTAAAATACGAGGAAAAAAAGAAGAAGGCAAAGGCTTTTCGGGTAACACAGACGATGCATTAAGTCTCGGAAAAACAGGTACCTGAGGTTTCTTGGATACATGGGATGGTGTTACGGAGTTTCAAGCTTCGCTCTCAGAACGACGAGCTTCGCGACGCTTTTATTCAGCATCGATATTTCACTTGCATTTTGGAGTCAGGCCACCTCGTTAATTAGTTGTCCAAGTTAATCATATTAAAGCATTGTTCAAATCTTTCACACTCCAATCTAGACATTCTGTTGTTTGCTGGTAGGAGGTAATCATGTTCAACTCCGAGGCAGCATTCCAGATTGCGTGAAAACTCCGTACCGTTAACACCAGTGATACGAAACGTACCCTTGACCGTCCCGATCTGTTGTCTCATCCGTAAAACTTTCGGGGCCAGATATTCATCGCGGTTTTTAACCCATCTTCCAACGGTAGACCAGCATGGTTGGTGCGCTCATCTCCTGTGCCGTTCGCGAATAGGTTGACCCACTGTAGTAGGGGTTAACGATGACTTCAAGAATACAAGGAGGCAGGGAGGTTAAGAGCAGGAGTTTGAGGCGTGGGCGTGTGGCTCAAAATTTCAAAATTTCAAAATACGGGCTTGCTAGGAGAGCAGTGGCGGTGGTTCGTGGGGTGGAAAAAGAAAAATAAAAGGGGGCGGGAAGGGATGTGGCGTTATTACTTACGAAGAGCGCGTTGCCGGCGATCGGCCTGAACGCCAAGCCACCTTCCTCGTGCTTCCTCCAGAGCTGCCGTCCCTCCTTGTCCGGCTTCGAGGGCGCCGTCGTATTCACGAAAGGGAACCATGTCTCGCCGCCCGTGCACTGGTCTTGCAGGATGGCGAAGAAGCTCGCAATGCGATTCCAGCTCTTTCCGCGGCCCATCATGCCTCTTCGTACGGGTTGTGGGTTTTTGTACCAATCGTGATGCCTATTGAAGCGCTGGCCTGCCGTATACCGCACCAGCTGCGGCGCGCCGATATCGTCTCGGGAAGGATCCAACATCGTACCGAGGAAGCCCTCGGCCCGCGCTAACACGCACCGTACGGCCGGGTTATCACGCGGTAGGCCGGCGGACGAAGAGGTGCGGTCAGCGGTGTCTTGGTTCCGACCGCGCTTGTAAACCTGGGACGGCGCAAACTCGGCCTCGCTGGCTTCAAGAAGTGCCGCGATCTCGGCTGGCGCGAGGAAAGAATCAATGTATATGAGAAGGGGTTCGAGTGAGATGATTTCGGTCGTATAGGTGTGAGGAAGACAAATGAAAGGCGAGGGTGAGGTTGAGTAGTCAATATCATTACTGAATATCTTCGAGATCGATGGCGGTAGCGAAGCTAGGTGCGGGGATAGAGTTGTAAGATATGGAGATACAAACCGGTACAGAGCTGGAGCCGTGATGGCGATGATGGTGATAATGAGGCCCGTGATGCCCGTTGGTCGGCTTATTGAAGCCATGATCGTAACTACCAAGGCGATATATTCACGAAGTAGTCGGCGCCACGACAACGCGTTTCATATCGATGCAGCAGTCAAAAGATAGATCCGATTAAACTAGTTCAGTCAAAACCACAGTTGAGCGAGAGACAGTGTCTCTAATAATATTCCAAGGCTTCCTAAGCAGTTTCGATAACATCTGATCCCCTCGACACGTTCGGAGAACCTAGTTCCGAACGAATCCTCTTACATAGCTATTAGCTAGTCAGACCGGTGGCATGAGTGGTGACACCGCATGCAGGCTGAAAAGCCTGGGCTTGGAGGAGCGTAACTATTTGGGGAACTGTTGAAACTATGTACAAAATTGGTTGCTCGATGTGACATATAATTTCATGCCCATGCCAGAATGAAACATCTCAGAACATCGACCTATGAGAATCGATCTTCAACGCCAAATGGTACGAATGTACCAAGACGGGAAATTCCATACCGTAAGATTTGCTATATAAAAAGTAGAGGCATCAGCAGCCGACATTTATAATATCTGGCTCAGTTAAAACATTCCTAAGAAGGCCTATAGAGACTACCGATCGCTTGCACTTATAAGAAGCATTCTCACACTAGGGCTGATTAAACCCATAAATTACAACTCATACAATATTAATATACTATCTCTTCTCACGTTTGATTACCTAGTTTTGTTTCTCAGCAATTTGATATTGACTATTCGCTAGGTAGTTACATCCTCATTGCGGTATGATAGCTTTGTGTTACGGCGATGTTGACCGAAACTCACACCAGCTAAAGAAAGGTATCCAAAGTATCTCGTGTCTGTGTACCTATACCTACACATCAAGGTTAAAAAAAAAAGTTTATACAAACTGGCATATGTCTCTCGATCGGGGAATTGAACCCCGGCCACCTGCGGCCTTGTTTCTGTTAGAGGCAATATAATCTCTAACCTAGAGAGATGATGACAAGCAGGTATCCTAACCACTAGACGAATCGAGAATTTCTAGCTATCCGATGCCTGAGAGACTAAGACTCGCGGCGTGGTGGAGCCGTGATGAAAATAGCAGACTTGTAAAACTATTCATAAACGATTAGTGTTGAGCATTGTATGTGGATCATAGACGACGGGTCTATTAGCCCTAGGAGCCGAGGTCATCGCCGCATGCATATCAACGCATGAAAAATAGGGACAAGAAACATTCTTCCTCTAATAAAGCCAATCAGCCCAGCCTCCATTGCATACCTGGAAAGCTCAAAGTAGAAAATGTTGGAGGGACAAGCGAGACGCTTTTCAGAATAGGGGCATTGTTGACACGTAAATGACTTACATGTATGTATTTAGTTAGATGTTAATATCGATAAAAGGGGGCTGTTAGTGAAAGCTCTATTATGGGTCTTTGTCACTTGGCTCAACTAAGCCGCGCTTAGGTTAACTTCAACACTCCTATACCTCGGCTCTGTTGTACCGGTACAAGTGTGAACAAGCGCAACAACAGGACTGTCTCGACATGCTGAATCGTGATGTAGACCCTCAACTGCTTCTACTGCGCCGCCAGTATATGCAATTGTTCGAGCCCGACTTTCTCGCTTGGCCGCCATCCAAGTTCCTCAAGGCCATAGACGTACAGAAATGGCTGTATAAGCACATGTTTGACCCGAGTCAAAATGCAAGGCTGCCTCCCGACGCGTATCAGATGCGTGTCTTGAAGCAACTTGTCACCAGAATCGAGAGAGCAACAGAAAGCCCGGCAGACGTATGTTCCTTACTCAGAATTTTTTGCATTCTTACGTTTATCTAAAACTATCAGGAGCTTTCGAACGAGCTTACGGCATGCCTCACATCCTTCATAACCAGGAAAGTGTCCTCAGGGTTCCAGGCGGCCCAGGAGAAGGCACACGTGACATTCACTTGCGTATCGGAGAAGGCAAACCCGGATAGTGCCAATGATGATGGGCGAGAGCCCACGATAACTCTGCTCGAACAGCGGCACCTCATATCGGGGTCTCGAACCACGGGGTTCCGGACATGGGAAGCTTCCCTTCATCTGGGCTCTTATTTGCTCACCGATGTCGGCTCACGTCTCGTACGGAGCAAGAATATATTAGAACTAGGCGCTGGCACTGGATTTCTCACTATACTTGCAGCTAAACATCTAAATGCAAGACATGTCACTTCAACGGATGGCGACGAGGACGTCATTAAAGCGCTGAAGGAGAATATTGCATTAAACGAGCTTGACGACCAGCAGAAGGTCAGGGCAGAAACTTTGATGTGGGGTTGTGACTTGAAGGGGACTTGGGTCGAAGATGACTGTGCCACTCACCCATATGACATCGTGGTTGGAGCCGATATTGTGAGCCTACAGAGCACAGTCGTGCTAAGGTGAAAACGTTCCGCTAATCCGTCTCATAGACTTACGACAAGGTCACGATATCAGCCCTCGTATCGACACTTCAAAGTTTCTTTGATATGAGACCTACACTCAAGGCTGTAATAGCAGGCGTCGTCCGAAATGCCGAGACGTTTCAGACATTTAGGGACGAGTGTGGTATGTTATTCACACATTCAGATGCATATAAATATTTGGCAACACTGACAAATTGCCTTGGCACTCTCAGCTTCTCACCATTTTGCTGTTGAAGACATTGAGTTTAAACCGAAACCAATGCGCGAACAAAGGTCGCTCTTCTATGCAGCCGCTGTACCTATAAAAATACTGACGATTTCACGTCCTTAATATGTATTCCTGAGCTATAGCATAATCGATACGACTAGCAAGATTTGTGTCTGGTGAGAGTGACCTCGGTATAAATACCTAGGTAGCTAGGGGTATAAGTGTTGACCCGCCAAAAGATTTTTTTCCAAAATTTAGACTCTTTTTTAAAATAAAGAAAAAGGAGGAAGGGGGAGGCCTAGTCACGACTAACATAACACAAAGGGGGGCATGATGATGAAACTTAGATCAAGCCAGAATTGGACTGAGATTATCCGAGTGTTAACGTCTCAATCGTTAAGCCTATTCAAACCTATGGGTATGAAGTGATCAATGTTTAATGGAGCCTGAGAGAGTGTAGATAAAGGATTGATACCTCTCTATATATAGAAGACACACGCCGGCCCGGAGAGATGGGTTTGCAGATGCTGGAAATTTTTGTAGGAGAGGAAAGGAGCCTGAGACTCAAGCTCATAGTTTCCCACATATTTAGCTAGAAGTATGGATAGGCCAGAGGAGTTCCAATTCTAAGGATCAACAATCGCCGTATTTTATTAGATTTTGAGGTTCCAATGCGTAGTAAAAGTCTATGCGTCGCCTGTCAGTATCAGATCAACACATAAACCATCGTCGAAGCCACGGTCCAAAACCCAACGCTTTGTACGTCAATGATTTTCCTAGAAAAACGGGCTGCAGAACTACTCCCAGTCGCTGAGGCGCCCTCCCCAGCAGCCGTCGAGGATGCGGTCGGCACAACTGACGAAGAGCTGCTTGGGTTGCCGCTCCCTGTACTGTTTCCGCCGAATAATTCTGGGAATAGCTGCGTGGAATTCTTGTCCTTAATGATCCCATTGATAATGACGGCGGTGCCGTTCAGAACGCTTTCGATCTGCTCCTCAGTGCACGTAGAAGTGTCATAGATGTAGCAGAAATGCAGCAAGTCTGGTGGATCCTCGTTCTTGATGGCCCATGTGTCAGAAATGCCCTCGGTAGCGTATTCCGGGTTCTCGATGAGGTCGACGGTGCCAGTCGCGATGTCCTTGTTAAATAGGGCACGGTAGAACAGCTTGTACGCAGTCTCGGGCTGGTACGCGGGGACTTCGTGGCCAGCTTCGTACACGCGTGAGAAGGAGAAGTTACCGTACTGCCGGACTTGCCCCCCGACGTACGTGTCGTTAATCACGATATCAGTGTACCCAGTGGCGTGGAACTTTTCGGTGTTAGAATAATTGACGGCCAGGCTGACGGCCTCGCCGCCGATCCAGTTGCAGGCGTAATCACGGTCACCGTAGATCATATGCACCTTGATTCCGTTTTCGAGCAGGAATGCGAGATCTTCTACCCATCCTGGACGGTTGTAATCGCCTATGGCCCGGAAAGCGTAAGCTACGGCACTCGAAGACTGGGTGAAGTTGATAGGGACACCAAGAGCGCTTTGGACATGAGGCTGGTTAAGATACTGATTATAGAAGGGGGCTGGAAAGGGGTTGGGATCGATGGAAGCATAGTCGTAGTAATTACGGCCCGAATAATCGAGATATGGACCCCTGACATAGTTTGAGCAAAATGTTTCCGCATCAGAGCATACTTTATTAACAGTGTCGTTCACTCCGGTGTTGTTTGGGTCGTACACAACTGACAAGGCGCGGCAGTCATTGATTTGATCGCGGCAACCACCGGTACGCTCCAGAGCGTCTACCATTTCGTCGTAGATGGTCTGATTGACGGTCTCTAGCCCGTATGTATTGTTATATGCAATATGCGGATATGCCGGCCATTGGATTTGACGATCTATACACGAGTTAATGAGGATGAGTGTATCAAGGTTGAGGACGTAGTTTTCGCCATCCGTATCGTTCCAAGTGCCGTTCTCGATCTTCAAGTTCTGCTCCTCGAAAAAGGCTGCAAACTCCGGACCGTACCTCCCACCATAAGACTCGGTGGCAATGCTAATTCTAGAGTCATTGGGATGGTACCCCGGGAACTCCTGGAACCAGGTCTGCGCAAAGTGCCATAGAGCAATAGCGGCGTTGCGAGTGCCTTTGGCTGTCTGGTTTCTCTCCTGACTTGGGTAGGTGCCGACTAGGAGCGTATTATTTTGTTCCGGGATAGGGCTAGACTCGTTGAGCTTGGTGACCCGTCCAGAGACGAGATCCTGGGTCACGTTCTGTAAGACGTCGTATGAAAAGCCTACTTGGGTCGGCTGGTCAAGGAATAGCATGTTGACTTGAGCGAATTAGCATATATACCTCCAGCATTGCGTACTCTTCTGAGAGCGTAGTTTCATTCATCTCACCATCTGTATTCCAGGCCCATTGGCTCAATCTAGTGGAGTTAGAGTCGGAATTCACGTAGCAAGGTCCATTTTCAGTGAAAAGTCCGTATAGGGAGCTGCTTCCAGGACCGCCGTTCAGCCATATTGACAATGGTGCATTCTCGGGGTCGTTCCGGGCCTCGAAGAACCAGAAGAATGTATTGATGGGATATTCCTGGTCCTCGCCTAGGTCCGCGAGCGAACCAGGCGGCAAATGAACGTAGCCCGCATAGGACTTGACATCCGGTGTCGTCTCGCAGATGCCCGGCTTCGAAAAAATGTCAGAGCTTGGGATTGAAGATTGACATTTACTGCATCTAGATGATATACTCACCTCCTTGTAGCTAATTGTGACCCCATCCCCAAATTTTGATTCGATAATAGTGACGTTTTCTGGCGTCGGCGGGAATTGGGCTCGAGTAAATGAGAGAAGCACCGAGACGCCAAGGGCTGTATGAAAGCCCTTCGAGAGCATGGTGAACAAGGTCCGGAGTATATACCCTTGAGGCAGATGTCTCAGCGGAAGCACCAACCTTCTCGTATCGCGACATGATAAGGCCAGAGCCTATCATTATATAGGTATCTACTTCCTAGACATTTCCACCTCTATAGGACTTGGCGTATTGGCTGTTTCCCCGCATTTTCGCCATTTATAGGCGATTGCATCACTTACAACGTCGCCGGAAGGATGCATAGATAGGGCCACAGGGTGGTGATCAAGTATCCGACTCGAGTGCTAGTTCCTCTAGCTGTGAGGAGCTGCACGGCAATAAGAGAACCAATGAAGCCGAAGCATCTTCACAATTTGCCTGCATATTTATGTGCTTAGCAATAGCACGGTAGGGGAAGGTAACAATAGGAACGAGGTTCTGGCGTGGACCTAAGAAAACTACCTAACCCTACCCCGCCTATGGACCGGGGGTACGAAGCCCAGAGGTTGGAGAAGGTTGGGGGGACCTTGGGGAATGAAC